TAATTAACACAAAAAATATGTAACTGAATAAGCATAAAGAAATAGTTATATATATATTCATTTAATTACAGTAATTGCTAACCTAGAATAATACTTAGTATGTTGAGTTACCTTGTAATAATTGTTTTGGTTTAAGTTACTTCGAATAGACATATTTGTTCGTGAAAGAATAAGAATGACCAATTTCTTTGCATAAAGTGATTATATATGATGAATGATCTTGTCCCCAAATAATATTTATTTTAGGAAAGTCATTTTCAATGTATAATATTGAAATTGAAGAGAGTAATATAATTACCTTAGAAAGCCAGTGCAAACTATAAGAGGAATAGATAAAGTGCAAGCAATGATCTGGAAAAAGTCTTCCATAAAATGAGCCTGGATAAGCAGCCACATATATATTTGAATTAGTTCCTTTATTTTCATGACCACTTCCATCTTTCTGCTTTAACCATTGATGAAATTCTGGCAAGGCCTGGAATATTGCGTTGAAGTCGTTAGTGGGAAGGTCGTTTAGAAACACTCGAAACTCCGGTGTTGATTGCTTCAGCTTATTGCTGCTGATTTTATCCAGGATGTCTTTAATGTTTGACAAAGTATTAGGTCCTGAGGAACAACCTAAGTCAGCTATGCCTATGCTTTTAGGCTTTGTTGCTAAATAAACTTCTTCCACTGTCTCTAGAGTTATATGCTTCACCATTTCAGATGCCTTCTTCTGCATTTCATGTGATAAGTCCATATGAAAATATTTAATTTACAATACTAGTAAGACGCGTGTCACGCCATAACAATTCATTTACAGTATATTGGACCAGAGTAAGTAATATATGACATTTTTATTTATTATTATGTGAATGTATTGTGTGGGATGAGTAAAGGAAAGAAAAAAGAGAGAGACCTGAAGTGAAGAATTCCTGGAATAGCTAGTTTCTCCAACTCCTCCTGTCATGTGGAAGACTTTCTCAACATCCATGGTGATGATGATTGATGAGTTTAATTTCTTCAAGCTTTGCACTCAATTGTGTGTTTGCCATCCCTTTTAAAGGAGAATAAAGGGGTTTTCACTTATTTTGGTGTCATCTCATTATCTCAAGTCTTATCAAAAGTAATTGTCAAAATTATTATCTTGAGTGGGAAAAAAAACTATTCCTATCTATCACTTTTTCCTGTATCATAAATTTCAAAAGCTTTTTTTTTTTTTGTGTTACTAAAATTTTTGTGTTAAATCAAATACTGTTATGTAAATTATCAAAATTTGAGACGGAGGGAGTACTTAAAATTAGTAATAATTTTTTCTTTCTTGGAAAACTTTTGAATGACATACCCATGAGCAACGAGATTACTAAGAGGGTATTCGTCTACTCTTAAGCTAAAATCAATCAAACATTACAATTTGACATTCAGCCAATAAATATGTTCTATTTGATCAAAATATCTACAGTATTATTTTATCCTGGCTATTTTTAATATGTCTATAAAAAACTGCTGACTCTCTCCCTATTCTATTCAACCATAGTCAATCTTTTTCATTATATTATATGAGTTGATATTTTCATTGTAAGGAATTGAAGAGACTAACACTTGATATTTTTTAATTACTTTTAATCAGTTGAAGCCAGATAAATTCTAAATACATTTCAACAATTAAAATTTTAGTATTATTCGATCGCATTGATAAGGCTTAAATTTTTAACAACAGAATTCAGCGAAAGCTCACCGAAACCCTTAAAATTGAAGTGCATTTCTTTTCCCATTAGACTATTTTATGTGTTGCGCTGTTGTTACATCACATTTTTTTACCATTATCAAAGAATGTGATGTAGTGAAGTGGATGAAATTACTCTTTCTTTTATCAGAGATCTCGAGTTCGAGTTTTGAATATGAAAAAAATTCCAGAAGTGTTTTTCCCTAAATAAACCTTATGCGGCGCAAATCCAAAATAGTCGAGATCCAATGCAGGTACCTGACAACAGATGAAAAAACAAAAAAAAAAATACTTCCTCTATTCCAATTTTTGTAACACATTTCGGATTTCAGAATTCAAATAATTTTATCTTTGACCGTAATTTTTTTATATATCTTTTAAATATTTTAAATTTTGAAAGTATCACTTTTTCCTTTATTACATCATATCCAAAACACTTGTCAGAAGGGGTTACAAATTCGAATTCCAAGTACTCTATGAAGGACCAATCAGGATTAAAGCCTTTTTTGTCGCACTTCACTTTTCATATGGATGAATTGAGGACCACGAATTACATCATTGGCGCTGGCCAAACGAATCGTCTGTTTTTTTCTTTAAATAATATAATAATGAAAATAGGCTAAGGGAAAGAGAAATGGAGAACGTAATTGGAAAATAAAATTTAAATAACTAACCAATTATGCTTTTAAGATTTTTTTTAGGTACTCAAATTATTTTGTGTTTCTTTGCGTGAAGTAACCAAATACAGATCATAATCGAACTGTCTACCACTTTGCCATATATACTCTCTTCCCCTCCCCCCTATCTTTAGGTTCCAGTTCCACTAAGTACTCTTTTGGCTCGTATTGCATGAACAAACTTAGTTTCAAGTTCAATCACTACTTTTGCTTTTTTGCCAGTTCACTACTCATCTAATGATGCGACAAAAGAAAAAGAAAAGTAATACTTTTCCGTTCATTTTTATTTGTTTACTTTAGACTTGGCATGTTTCTTTCTTTAGATAATAATGAGTAATATGAGTATTTCACTAAAATACTCATATTAATTCATATATGATATTACTCTTCGAAAAATAAAATTTTAATATTGTAGACAAGTAAACATCACTTGTTAAGAGGAAGGAACCTCACTTGTTAACCCCAAAAATGATGTATCGATAAACATGTCTTAATTAGTGCAAGATTAAGCAAGCAATCATTCATCATTGATGTGGCCCGACCCTTGCCTTATTTGCGCATATATATGTCCTTGTGTTTTGACTCCGAGCAAATTAAATGGGCAATAAAGCCTAGTGTTGTGGCTGTCAAGTGGGTTTCTCATCATGCTGCGCGCTTTATAGTGTTTTCTGTCCTGGACATTTGATTAGACACTCAACTCACCACAAACTCTTATTTTGCTTGTCAATGTATTTAGTGGAGGGGTAGTAAACTAAACAATGTTCTACCAAGTTCAGCAATCCCTGGGTGTCTACACGTGTCATTTGAGGGATTATAAATAACAAAAAAATTGCATCTTTGAATTGGGGTGGGGGTGATAGAGATTCTAATATTGCTTCTGGCCTTTTTGCTAGGCTCATTAATTAATTATCTTTGATAAAAAGATAATCGTAATTAGAGATGTCTTTTTTTTTTTTTGTTATCTACAAGCACGCACTTGATAATGCGGTGGCTATGATTAGTCCTAATTCAGGTGCAGAGTACTATGTCCTTTCTGTAGCAATTGATGTGAATGGAAGGACAAAATTAGTGAAGTTTGAGAAATTGTTATTTGAGTTGTGAGTTATGGACAAACCAATTAAGTAGTACCCCGTCCCTTCTTATATTTTTATTTGTTCAGTATTGACTTGACACCCTTTTAAAAAAGTAATAAATAAAATGATAATTTTATATAACCCTTTCATTATAATAAATCCAATAAATTATCTCTTGTTTTTCTTAATTGAACGTGTAAAAATGAATAGCTATTTTTTTCAAGTATATAAACAAATAAAGTGATGGCGTAGTGATTAGTAAAAGAATTTTTAGACCGCACAAAGAGGAAGGATGAAATTAAATAACCTAATACATAGAAGTGATCCACCAAAGAGCTACGAAAAGAGAGTGTTTCATTTTATTTATTTTTTAATCAGGCCTTGGAGGGAATGCCCGGCCCCCTTCCTTTTCAGGCTTTTGCTTATCCCCACATAATGCTTGAGCAATCATGTTGTTTGTTTCTTGCCATAGAATGCGCTTGAGCCGTCCGTGCCACCCATTCTACGTACTACTATTAAAACAACGAGTTGTGATTGGGGTGTGGACCAATTAGAATGAGGTTTATGAGGATGCAATGTGCATGGCTCTTTACAATCAAACTCAAACGCATGTGGGCGGCAAGTTAATATGATATCTACCACGCTAAGATTGTCCATTTTCAGAAATTCCACAAAGTGGATTTGGAAGGGTACGGTGTATATGCAGATCTTACCATTACTTTCACGAGGTAGAGAAGTTGTTTTTTCCGAAAGACCTCATCTATCACTTCACATAATTTATTATTTAAATCAGTCTATATATATTCGTAGCTACCCGGCCTGGGTTCACAGTTTCACAAGATGTTGGTATTATTCATACTATAGAGGAGACCTCTATCAGACTATCACTCAGTGTCTATACCAACAGTATCTCCTCAAATTGTGGCCCAAGTGAAGTACTCACTCACAATTCACAACGGATGAACTGACCTTGATGGTGAAATATGTAGGAGAAAATGTTTTGGGAGTATTAAAGTTGCACTATACTCGAATAGTTAGTAATTTGAACTCTATCTCGTATTACCGTGTGAATTTGAGGATTTTAATTTTTTGCCGTAAGCTTGGTCATCTTAATTCTTTAGTTTTTCTCACTTTTCATTTTCCTCCGCCCAAAAAATGTAACAAATAGTTTTGATTGTTGAGTTCAACATATGACGACACTTGACTAATTGGATTCGAGCTAGTGTTACATAGATGATATAACATTCGAGAAGAAATTAACATCTAGTCAATATATAAAGAGGGGGCGGGGGTGTAGAAAAAATCAAACGTTGAAAATAATTAAAATAATAGCATTGTTTTCTAAGACGGAAAATGACAATTGGAATTTGGAAGGAAGCATTTATTGGAGAACAAAATCAGGAGAGGCAGGTGAACAACCAAAAGCATTTATTGGAGAACATAAATGAGAAGACAATTGAGTTTTAGTGCTTTCTTTGAAGTTACATAAATCATTGTCGAGTTTTTTTTTTCTATTTAGAGATATATTCTGAAATAGATAAAAAGAAAATAGACCTTCTTGCTGATGGTGCAAAAGACTGTATTGAAGGTTGATGTTTCTTGTGATAAATGCAAGAGGAAGATCCTCAAAGCTGTTTCAGGTCTGCCAGGTACTACAACTTTCTTTGTTTTTTTTTTCCTTTCAAAAATTGGGGTAGGGAAAGGAGAAATAGGGAAAGTGCTACAATGTGGAAATCAAACCCTCATCAATAAGGTACGAGTTAAAATAGCCAACCAACCAGTTGAGCTACTGAGATTCCCTGCAACTTTGTTTTGTAATCAGGATTGCTATTCAAAAAATCTATACTAACTAATTAAAGTATGTTCTTCCATATGTCTATGTGTGTAGTATATGAATAGTTTGTTAGAGTGTGTAAAAGTCTCACATTGGTTGAAGACGGATGGTCTTTTTATATGGACTAGGACAATCCTCCACTCATGAGCCAGTTTTTGGGTTGAGTTAGACTCATGTGTCATATCTTTACATACCTCATAGGTATCATTGAGTATAATCTTCTTTGGTTCAGGAATAGAATTTGATATAACATCATTGTTGTCCAAAATTGTTACTAATTTACACTGCTGTTACCTAAGATATGGAAACTACTAAGCATAGCCGCTAAATCACATTTTAGTTAGGTATTTAGATATGCAATAACACTTTTTTAGCTCGAAAGAAAGTTATGATGATCTGTTTTGGTTTCTTATCTAGTTCATGGTATTCATTTTGAAACTTGATTAATTTGGATTCGTATTAGAAAGTTTTATTTTTGGGTAACACACTCACTACTAAAAACAAGTTCATTCTAGCTAGTGATTGAATCTAAAACTTATGATTAAAAAAAAGTACTAATTACACTACAACCTTGTGTGGTAACCGTGCCAATAGGCAAAGCCTAAGACGAGTGCCGGTCATTAGGGTAAATCTAATGACTTAGATGTCTACATCAGATCCAATACTCTTTCTGAGTTTCCTATTGATTTCATCTTACATGTCAGTGTTATTATTTTGGGGAATCCAACAAATTTTTATTTGATTAGAATTTTCAAACATTTTTATAGTATTCGTTACTACAAAATTAGGATTTAAAGCTATTTATGACAAGATTAATTTAAATTTAACCAATTCTCATCCTACTCCTCCTTGGTTATAAATTGAAAACGTGTAATTCATGAAACTGAAACTCTAAAATTTGATATTGAAGGTGTGGAAAAAATAGAAATTGATGGAGCAAAGGGGACTTTAAGCGTAACGGGGAACGCTGACCCATACGAGGTCATTGTAAGATCAAGGAAAGCTGGGAAATTTGCGGAGGTGATCAGTATTGGGCCTCCACCAGCTCCTCCAAAACCAGATGGACCGAAAAAACCCGAACAAAAAGGGCCCAAACCCGAACCCGACCCCCAGACCATGGCCCATATGTTTGGGCCTCCCCCTCCGTTAGTGCCCTCAGTCTGTCCTTGCTGTCAGAGATCACCACATGTCGTTCACGTGACACGTAGGGAAGAACCCACCCCACAATGCTCGATTTTGTAAGTGCGCAATTTCGATAAGGACCAATCAAGTTCGAATACTGATAGGGGCGGATCCATAGTATCAGTTAAAAATTCATGATTACTTTTTGCATTTATTCAAATTTTCCAATTCATTGTAGCTGTCATGCAGGACGAATACTTTTTATTTTCCCTTTCATATTCATACTTTAGAATTATCAACTAGGAAAAGTTGGATTACATCATCCATTCCTATCAATTACTATGACCCATTGTTCCACAATAAAATTTGTAACTTGTTATCTATCTTCTTAACGGGCCCATTTGGAGAAGTTTGCTATTCATCCTGCAAGGCTGTCAAAGTTATTGGACACCCACTTCTTAATCTGGGAATATGGGCTTTTCTTTCCAAGCTGCGATCTGGATCGTCAACTGTCCATCTATATAATAATCGTGATAGTAAATGTAAGTTAATTATCAAAGGAAAATTTGATAAATTACAATTAAGGATTTACTTACTTGTATCCAGTTGTTAATCTGTGCAAAAACACCAACATGGTCACTTTTGCCATGTTAATTCCCAAGCAAGTACGGGGTCCTGATCCAAAAGGAATGTAGCTATATGGTTTTTGAATTTCCTGAATATGAGAAAAATATGCATGGTTAAATAGTAATGTTCATAACATTTCCAAGCAATAGAACTTAATTAGTACATCGAATCTTGAAGGATTGAACTGCATAGGGTCTTTGTATAATGTTGGATCGTAGTGTATGCACGTTGCATCTATGTTCACATGCCATCCTTTCTTTATTTCAAAACCTGTCACGAGCATACAGAAAAAAATAGTTGTCAGATGATTCTTATTCCTGTGGAATTACAACCAACTAACAGAGGAATTGCAGTGTCACAAACTTTTCCACATATGGAGTAATGTGCGAAGAATAAACTTGCCTTCAATACTACAGTCATTAAGTGCAACCCGAGGGAACCATAGCAAGACATTCGACATCCTCAACGTCTCTTTCACAACCTAAATATAGAGGAAATAGAGTTACATCTTATCTGATTCTGGTGCAGATATAATATGGTGAAAAACACCGAATAATTTTGCTGTAGTAAGAGTTAAATAAATCAAGAAGAACGACTATAAGATGTAGTTTCTACAAACCTTTGACGCATAGGACATGATATTGAGATCATCCATAGTTAGTAAGGCTCCATTAGGCTTGCTTCTGAGTATTGAAAGCTGTTCTTCCTGTATTAAACTATTTGTCATACACCTGACTACATGTTTGTGTTTTATATGAATAAAATTTCTTGAGATATCAGTTTCCATACTCACACATGTAAGCCAAAGTTGGGTGAAAAAAATGTGCATAATGTCACCAGTTACATGTTATAGGCTAATAGAAAAATTATGCTTTTGAAATGCCACAAGTAGGATATATATTTAATCATTTTGTCAGCATAAAAGTGCATAATGTAACAGAATGTCTTTGTGATATATATATGGATACTCACTCTGAGCCTGTTCTGGGCTCCTCTGTGCTCATCCAAAAACTTGACACTCCACATCATTGCAGCAGCAGTTGTTGTCTGCCCTGCAATTATCAGCGTTAACAAATTATCCATGATCTCTTCATCATCAAGCTTTTGATTAGCTGGACATGAATCCTTCTCCAACATGGACTGCAGGAAGTCTTCATAATATTCCTTCCCATTGCGCCGAGCTGTTATCATTCCCTTAAAGGTCTCCATTACCCTCCCACGTGCCTGTACGGAATCTGAGGATGAGCATAATCTAATAGTAGTACAGATTAATTTCTCTTATATTAAGCGAAAAATCTTAGTTATCTAATGATCTGTTTACTCAAGTCAAATTTTGTTCACATGTCGCAAGTCATCAAGAACCCTACCTTGATGCCTTTAAAATATCTGGTGCCCGGAATCATGACTGGAAAGGACAGCATGGCATCAGAAATAGCAGTGCAGTCTTTTTCAATTTGTTCTAGCAGAGAAGAATCTTTGATGCTCATCAGCATATCGCACATTGCATCGAATGTTATCTGCAGCAAAATTTCACGTGGTCAGCATACGTACACTCACTGCAGCAGCACACAGCGGTACTATTTCTTTTGATACATCTTTTTTGTATCAAAAGGCCCAGGCCAATGCACTAAATCTTGTTCAAAACAAATCAAAAAAGATCAGGAAGGGACTAAATTTGTTCCAAGCCATAATGACCCTTGTGTTAGTACTAAAACTAGTGGAGTAATAGATTATAGACAAGTTACCTTCATGTTGAAGTCAAGCACAGTGAAACTCTTCCCTTCCTTTTGTACTTTCTTCAATCTTTCATATAGCATTTTATCAAATCTCTGGACAAACTTAGACAGTGAATTCATAGAGAAAGGATCAGATAGGAGGCGCCTAATCCTTTTGTGACTTTCTTCAGGAACACATAACAAACTTTTCTTTCCCACAGCATCTGCCATCGATTTCACGTAGCCCTTGTTGAATAGAGCAAAATCATTAGTAAAAATTGCTTTCGCACCCTCAACACTTGGAACAAACACATGTATCTTCCCGAAAATTCTGGTTTTGAACCATTTTCCATGCCTGTGTGTTAAACAACAATCAATCTACCAGAATTTGCTATATACACTATAGCTGATATGCTGGAGGAACAAATGAGGAGGGATTTTTATCATAAAATAGGAACTTATTATGCTGATTTATAAACATTTGGGAAAATATTGAATAGAAAGTCCATAGAATAGAATGCCTATGGACTTTCTCTGTTTTTTGTCATAGGAACAGTTGACCTAGTGTCTGTCATCTCAATATAAAATTAAAGCTAGTATATATATAGTAATCTCAATATAGAAAAAGCAAATTGCTGGATTTGATATTGCATTAAAACTTCATGGATTTAAAACAAAAAGAGTTTCTTACCATTCGCGTCGAAGTCTAACAAATTCATAACAACCTTTGACACTGTTGGTTGCTGATAGAAGTGCAAAGGTTTCGCCCACGAAAGGTATTCCCAAACTCCCAGGTATGCAGTTTTTTGCATTTTTAGCTCCCTTTGACAAGTAAAGTGCAGTAATACTTATGACAAGTATTGAAACCAGAAGAATATCATAGTATTTGCTTAGTAGGAGAAGAATGTCTTCCATTGACATGGTAAGCATATTCTGATTCGATTTTAATGTCAACTTGAAAGGATAAACTATCACTAATATATAGTAATGCACTCACTTTATAAGGCATAATTAAAAATGCATTAGGTAGAGATTAGAAAATTCAAATGTAAGTATAGGACAATATGCCATAAGCCTGGATCTTTTGTCTTCACTTGCTTTGCACAATGGATACGGATCTATCTTTTAAGATACTACTTAAAATAAAAGAACAGGCTGACAAATATATGTAAGTTGCTTTCAATTACTTTTCTTTGTGCTGATTGAGACTTTTGATATACTCCATCCATTTCAAAATAAGTGTCATCTCAGAAATTCATGATAAAAATTAGAATATATTTTCAAATATATCCTTATACTCTAATCTTCATAATAGTTTTTAATTGTCAAAAGACGTTTATTAAATCAGGATAGTTTAGTAAACTACACATTGTATTTATCGGTTTTTTTTTTAGTGAATGTGGGAGTACCTAGGTAAGATGCTAAATGTGATCTCCTTGCCGGCATGGTCTATTATTATTAGTGACCACATAAAAGATGATATTGACAGCTAATCATGAAAATTTGTGAACAATAATCAAACATATACGAGGTAGTAAGTGCAATCTTCAAAAAAGAAAAATCATAACATAAGCAAACTTCTTGGCCTTGGATGCTTTTTATTGCTTGAAATGGATAAACTGATAGTGGTCATTTGGCCATGTTTTAATATAAAAAAAAATAATTAAAAATAGATTTTATTTTCACACTGAAAAATGATACTATTTAAAAAGAAACTCAACTTCAATTTATTTTTTTTAAAAATATCATGGTCAATCGCCTCCTATATGTATCTAAGAGTGATTTGGTATGTTAATATGATTGAGACATTTTATTCAAAGAACTTAGATGAAATATAGGAAAAGTGATTTGGTAGGTACAGATTAGTTGATAAAATTGGACATCTCCATTCTCCAATTGATATCCCTTGGCATGCTCGAAAGGAGGGGCAGATTCTTGGCATGTGACAAATGAGATCGTGCACTTATTTCGGCTGTGGTCTAATGGACGTATGCTTATCCAGTTATCGGAATACTCTCTTTTCTTTTGTCAAAACTAGAGTTACCCCATTTTTTTAGAACTTCCCAACTTCTAACTTGTAATATTATTTTTTAGAATTTTGTACAATAGCCGAGGGTTTTTGAAAATAGTCTTTCTATAGTAGTAAGACATAAGGCTTGAGGTCTGCGTACACTACCTTTTCTAAGTCTACTTTGTGAGATTTCAGTGGATGTGTTATAGTTATTGATATAATATTAGACTTTGAAAAGCTTATTTGAGGAGTATTTAAATTGAAATGATGATTTTTTCTGATAAGACTTTAATTTTTCTTTTTCAAGTGAAATATGGCACACACGCACACACACAAAAAAAATATCTTTCTATATTAGTTAGTAGTTTTTTTAAAGTTTTGTAAAATAAGTTGGGCAGGGACCAATAAACCCATTTTTAAGTGGACCGCGAAGACTGCATAGACAAAAATATTGGGCCTAATGAGGAAGCAGTCGGGGGCCTTTTAATACTAAGCCCATCTACCGCTCAGAGTCAGATGACTTGCTGAAGACGAATCATCAGTCCTTCCCTCTTTCTTCAAATTGAATCTTCTTCTGCAACCCTAGATCGATATCCCTTTCTCTCTACCCATCAAATCACCATGACGAAGCAGCAAGCTAACTGGTCTCCTTATGACAACAATGGCGGGTAATGTTTCATAAATATTTACTTTTTTTTGCTTTCTTTCTTTCATTTTCAATGTCGGTGCTTATGTCCCTCCCGTTTCGACTTTGCAGAACCTGCGTG